GGGCCGCGCCGAAGGCCCTATAGGGAGCTCCGCCGAAGGCGCCGGTGGCAGCGCCCGCGTGCCGCCGCCATCTCGCATCGGCACACCCTTCGCACGGCTCGCGCCCCCGAGCACCGCCGAAGACGACGTTCGCAGATGCGGTTTTCACAGCTGCGTGCGATGGGGTCATTCGCCGGGCTATTTCGAGTGAAGCAGCTCCCGGGCGGCCCCCGCGGCCCGTTTTTTCGCGCTTTGTGAAGTGAAACGGCCGGAGGGCCCCACGACGGCCCCAGATGGCCCCAAGACGGCCCCAAGACGGCCCCAAGACGGCCGCGTGAGAGCTTCAGATGGTTTCCGAACAGTCCAGGAGAGCTTCCAGACAGTTCCAAAACCTTCCAGAGGGTTTCCGAGAGGGCTTGAGGAGGCCCAACATCATGATTGTTTTGAGGTTTTCTGCGATTTGTTAACATTATCCCCGCTTCGGGCTTAGAGAAGCCCCAGACGGTCCAAAAAGCCCCAAAGATCGCCCCAAAACGGCCCCAGAGGCGCCCTAAAATATCCGACAACTGCCCAACGGGGCCCCCTGACGGGCCCAAGACGGCCCGAGATCCCCCAACGATCGCCCCAAGACGGCCCCAAAGGCCCACCCAAAGGGCCCAAAACTGTCCACAAAGGCCCCCTGACGGCCCCAAAACGGCCCATCCCTTTTACTATTCGAGAGAAGCGGCTCCCAGGCGCCTTCCATGGCTTGTTTTCTATCGGGACCCCGTGCGCCAGTTTTTCGATGGCAAACCGGGAAAGATGGAAGTCTGGGCAGTATCCCGGCGGGATCTCGAATTTGCTTGAGCACGTCCTGTCCAGAATCCAAGAGGCTAACGAACCGTCCTCCCTCTCCGCTGGTTTTTCCCGCCTGGCTCTATGAATGTCCCAGTCACCATCGAGAATCCCCATGCCAATCGTCTGTGGTGCCTGCCGGCGTGGTCTCAAAGACTCCGGCTCTTTGATGTTGACACCGCGGTTTTCGATTGGTACTGTGCATGTGGCATGCCGTGGCGGAAACGGACACAGTTCGTGTCCGCCAACGTAGTGCTCTCTCAGCTCCCCTTTCGTTGTCACGGCACCCGGGTGTGCGACTTTGTGGCAGGCCCCATATCTGTCTTCAAGGTCATGACGAAAACCACGTCCATAGTACTAAACTTGGCGAGCCCTATCCGCGTGAATTGTGTACGGGAATCCTACGTGCGCATGCTTCTACTCTGCTGTCACGGTGAAGTACGGCGGGGGCGTTCGTTAAGGAACGTGCCCAGGAGGCTTCAGATTCTGGAGAGTTTTTTATCTGATGAGGGCGGCGGTGATATCGATGGCCAATCCACCATTGGCGTCCCACGGGCTTCCAGACCCTGGACTACTTGTCGACGGGTTCCTTATCCAATACCCCCACCGTAGCTGTTTTTTTTGGGCGTGGTTTTTAACGGCATACCAGATTTCAGAACAGGAAAAAACATATGAACACAAAGGGTTTTATTGGTTTTACGCCGGAAGGGGGCGTCGTTGAGAGGGTGCATGGCACGGATGCGGGGATCGGGGTGGCGTCGGTGTTTGGAGCTGGCAGTTTGCCTGGCAAGCGCGTTTAGCTGGTCGCATTTGTTCGGAACGCGTGACGGGTGGAAAGTCCGCTCGCCAGCAATTGGCAGTCCTCTGCCCGCGGGCCAAAACAAATCGTCGCGCGCTCGCAGCGGGGCGTGGGAAAGAGGGTTGGGAAGAGAGCGCGAGTCTCATTCCCAAGAAGGCCCTTCGATACGCAGCGCACAATTATTGTTCTATTCATCTGCCGCACGGCCAACCGAACGAACGAGCAACTGTCTCGACGCGCAGCGTTACCTTCGCTTGCGCGCATCCTGGTTTCCTTCCGTTGCTTCCTTCGCTTCTTTCTCGCCCTCCTCTTCCCTTTCCTCTTCCTCTGCTTTGCCGTGTCCCGCCCCCCCGTCCTTTTCAGCTCGGAGCTGCCACCGCGCGCGAAGAGTGCAACCCAAAGAGCGTTGCTGTAATTCTTTTGTGTGCCACGAAGTCTCGCGTAATTCCTTTGTGTATGGTCTGGTTACACTGACAACGCTGGGGGCACACAAAGGAATTTCCTTTGTGTACGATCGTTTTCGCCGCCCCCACAAGAGCACGCGCGATTTTTTTGTGTAGAGCTTGCTTTCCAGCCTCGAAGAGCGCACGGGGCCTGGCGCTACAATCGTAAGGCCGCGGCGCCTGGCAGTGCGATGCAGCTGCGCCGGATACCACGCCCAAAACGATCCTACGTGGATGTTGGCTCTTCTGCCGAATTCGCGCTGGCAGCTGGCCAGCCACATCGCCGGCCCTGCATGCCCGTGCGCGGTAGCGCGTTCTGCTGCCGCGACGCGTGCTGCTGTCAACGGATGAACAAACTGACGTTGCACGGTGGTTTGGCTGTGCCAAACCACAATGGAATATTTGTTGGTAGCGGGTTTTGGGATCATGTCGAAGCCGACAGCCGCGCCACGCCACACATGTCAACTGCATCCTAGAGCACGGCCGTGCATCAACCCTGGTTCGGATCGGTGGGGATCCGGTGGCACGTGTGCACATGCGTTGCACCGCTGGTGGTGCCAAAACCCTTTGTGTGAAATTCCTTTGTGTTTTTTTCTGGCTCCTAAGATTTACCTTCGGATTGAAAGGCGGCTTCGGATTGCCAGTGGAACCGGTTTCACCTTGTGTGTGTATGTACGTGCGCAGTGGCTCTTATGTACAGTGACTTTTGGCGATATCAGCACACAGATCGACGCCTGCTGGCGAAAAAACGTTTGGCCCGTCGTTGGCATGCATGTGCATGTATACCGCTTTGTTTTCATGCAACTTGTCTGCTTCGGAATGTTGGGAGGGCCGTGTATTTCAATGTCTGTGTTCAAGCTTCCCACGGTTTCCGAACGCTATGCATCCTGCCACCCCAAACCACCCTCATGTTGCCACCTTCTAAGGGCAAGAAGCCTCCTCGCTGTCTTCACTGTGTCTGTTCCTTGGGGATTGCTGGTGTAACAGGTTTTCCCCTGTCTGCGAATGTACGTGTGCAGTAAGTTTTATGTGCAGTGGCTCTTGGCGAAATCAGCACGCAGATCGATGCTTGTTGGCGGGGAAAGCGTATGGCCCGTCGTTGACATGCACGTGCGTGTATGTGTATATATATATATATATACATGTATACACGTATATATACTTATATGTGTACATACATGTACATATCAAGAATCATATCAATAGCGGTTGGTGTACCTAGCGACCTTAGTATATGTCGATGTTTGCCGATGTGTATATATTTATATATCGTTATATCAATATTGATATCTGTGTACACACATATATATATATATGTACATACATTATATATAATCACATATATATATATAACTGTATTATATATATATGTGCGTGTACATATCGTGTTACTGCTATATTGTGATATGCAGGGATATGCATTGATATCGATGGTTGTATATACAGGTAGAGGTTGCCCTAATGGTTGTCCCGATGTTTGTCCCGATAGTCGCCCCGATGACTGTCCCGATGAATGTTCCGACGGTTGGCCCGATGATTTATTGTTTGGCATCAGGACGGGTAGGTAGGTGGTGATGTAGATTTACAGATCGAGAGCTATCGAATGGCCCTCGACCTATCCCGCCTGCGTGCCTGGGTTGCGGGTCAGAGTCCACACGGATGCGTTCAGGGGTCTCTTGGGAGCGCTCTCGGATGCCTCTCGGGGGCAGTTTGGGAGCTTTTTGGGGCCTTTGGGAGCCTCTTGGGAGTTTCTCGGGGGCCTCTTAGGGCTTGCTGGGGGGCTCTTGGGGGCTCTTGGTGGACTTTTTGGGGCCTCTTGGGGCCTGCTGGGGGCTTCCCATGGCCGAGAGCTCGAAATGTCCATTCGGGTCACCCGTCGGGGCCCCTTCTTGGAGCCGTCTTCGGGGCCTCTGGGGCCGTTTTGAGCGCCTTTGGGGCCGTTTTGGGGCCATCTTGGGCCGTTTGGGGGTCCTCTTGAGGCCTCGTCGGCCGTCTTCGCGCGATTTTGGGGACCTATTAGGACGTCCTGGAGCGTCGGGAAGCCGAAAAGGCGAGAACGCCAAAATCTCGCAAACATCTGAATCTATGATGTTTGCTTCTTGGGAGGCCTCTTGGAGGCCTCTTGGGGCATCTTGGGGGCATCTTCTTCGGCCGTCTGGCGGCCATCTTGGGCGTCTTGGGCCGATCATTCGACGACTCGGGACCCTCTTCGGCCGTCAGCGGGGCCTCTAAGGTCTTCTTGGCCCGTCTTGGGGCTCTCCTGGCGTCCCAAAAGCTCAGGCGACACCCCGGCAGTGCGCAGTAGCGCCCGGGATCGCCTGGGAAATTGGGGGCCCAGGCCCTCAAGAACCACAAGCCCTCTATCTCTCAGAGTTGCATGAACCTTGAAATGCTCCACTACGTGCCGAAGGCACGGTGGCGGATTTTGATGGTGAGATTCGTAAGCAAATGTTGCGACCGATAGATACATAGTGAAATCGATCGATTGGCTGGTGAGACACAGCAATCGATAGATAGTGATATCGATTGGTAGATCTAGAGTCGTAATATATAGATCTATGACGTAGACAGTGAGATTGATGGGCCGGTCGAGGTGATTCGGTGGATGGAGACGGTTGTTTCGATCGTTGTTCTATCGTTGGTCCCACAGCCTTTCCAATATGCTGATCTGCATTCGGCCGGTCCTATAAGTGTACGCAAGTGTTTCCCCCCCAGGCCGCTGAAGGCGCCCTTTCGTTGCAAGTTCAGTATTTTTCACGCGGGCAACTCTCGGGGGCGCGTCCTGCGAACACGGCGCGGAGTTCCCATGCAGCCCTTCATGTGATTGCGTCCCTTGGGCGCTTTGAGCGGCGCGCTGCCATTGTGCCTGCTTCGGCGGGATGTTGTGCATCTTGGGGGCGGGCCTCTGTCGGCTGCGTCAATCGGCCACACCCCTTGGCTTGCAGATTCGAGGGCGAGGGCGGCCTCGCGTTGTGCCTCTCGAGCGCGTTCAAGCGGTCTGACGGGATCCGCGAGGAGGCCCGCCGAATGCTGGAGCAGGCGCGCTCTTTGCCGAAACCTGTTTCCTTCTCCCAGCCCATCGCCGATCCTCCTTCCCCCACACGTTTTGTGGTTGGCGTGCCCAACCTTCGTCGAAAAGAATAGGTTTGCTGTCTCTGTCCATGTACGCACGTTAGTCGAAAAATCGAATGTGCACGTGACCTGGTATGTGGTCGATTGGTTCTGATTCAATAGACGGGTGAAGAGTACCTGGTTGGTTCTCTCTATTTGGTGAGTACGATTATCGGCTCATCGCGTTCATACTGAAACATCCAGAGTGCACAATCCATGTTGCCAAGCATTGTCATCACCCAAAGCTCGTCGACGTTGTTGTCAGATCAAAGTCGCTGACATTACGCGTCTGGAGTTCTGACCTAGCTATCTAGCGTTGGCACGCTCCACAACTGAGCACGAGCATTCCTCCCGCTAGGCTTCCAGTAGCTGCTCGGTCTGTGTTAATTTGTTTTCATGTTTCGTTGCCATCCAAGTATTTGTATTGGGTGCGTGTCAAATTTGTCGCTGGGTGCGGGGCTGAAGTGGGGTTTTGCGGCGGAGATTGTTGTTTCGTTGTTGTTTGTTGTTAGCGTTGTTGTTTTGGGTATTGTTTCTGTTGGTTTAGCCGTTGTTGTTGCTGTTGTTGCTTGTGATAGTGTTGTTGCTGTTGCTGTTGTTGTTGTTGTTGTTGTTGTTGAATTCTCACTTCTGAAGAATAGTTATTGTTGATCCCCCCCGTCCGGTGCACATTGTTTTTTCAATTGAAGTGCCCTTCCCTGGGCTCGCACCCCGTTTTCTTGTCAGAGAAATGTTTAAGGGTAAAGCTGCGTTGTTGGCCCCCGGTTTGCAACAACAGCGGCTCCCGCCTGATACTTCCTCACAATATATTGAAGAATCGCGTTCTCGCTTGGGATGCAATTTACCACCGGATCGCGGCTCCGGGTTGATACTTCCTCACGCTTTATTGAAGAATCGCGCTCTCGCTTGGGACTTCCTCGCAACTTACCACCGAATCGCGGCTCCCGTTTGATATTTCCTTACAATTTATTTAGATGCCGCTCCTCGACAGTCAGGAATCGTGCTCCCGCTACATACTGCTTGGCGGTTCAAGCAAAATTTACGCTTCAACGACCCGCCCGCTCGACCCGCCCGTCTGGGCCTGCCCGCCCGACCAGCCCGTTAAGGACTGCAGTCGCCGCTCGCTGCCCTTCGCCCGCCTTCGATGCCCCTCGCTGCCCGTACTGGTTCCGCGGTCGCCTTCGCTCGCTGCCCTTCGTGGCCCCGTTGCTGCCTCCAGTTGCCCCGTCGTTGCCCACTGTGGCCCCGCATTATATGCCCTTTGTGGCCCCCGCTCGCAGTCGCCCGTCGTGGCCCCATACGCATGCCCTTCGTAGCCCCGCTGTCGCCCTTCTCTTTCTCTCTCCCTCTCTCTCTCTCTCTTCTCTCTCTCCTTTCGCAGCTTTCCCTCCCGTCCCTCCGTCCCTCCCTGCTCCCTCCTCCCTTTCCCTCCATCCCTTCCTCCCGCCCCTCCCTCCCCTTATCGTCATTGTCGTCGTCGTCGTCGTCGTCGTCCCTGGCCGCCCCCCTTGGGGCCCGCCTGCCGCCGGGAGCCCGGCACTCCGACCCTTCAGCCAGCCAGGCCGATAATCTGTGCGACTGTCTCGCCGCCTGCCGAGGGCCAGCCTGTCGGTCCTTCAGCCCCCACCCTCCTCCCTCTTCTCCTTCCCTTCCTCCCTCCTTCCCTCCTTCCCTCCCTTCCTCCTCCTCCTCCTCCTCCTCCTCCTCCTCTTCCTCTTCCTCCTCCTCCTCCTCCTCCTCCTCCTCCTCCTCCTCCTCCTCCTCCTCCTCCTCCTCCTCCTCCCAGCTCCTCCCAGCTCCTCCTCCTCCTCCTCCCTCCTCTCGTCGTGGTCGTCGTCGTCGTGGTGAGCTCGCTGTCTGTCCATCTTGGGGTCGGGTTGCCGCGGGTCGGCGCGTGCATCGCCAGCGCTGCCACTGGCCAGGCCGACGGTCCGCCGCTCGCCGGGGCCCGGTTTGCCGGACTTTGAGACGCGCGTGTTCCACTGGCCCATGTTCTTCTGCAGGCTTCGAATGAAGGCCTCCTTCGACGAGGCCCCCAGGGCGTTCCCGCAGGGTTTCGGAGCCTCTGGAACTGCTCGGTGGCCATCGGGGCTACCCCGAGGCCCCCCAGAGGTCATCGGAGGCTTTCGGGTGCCTTCCAATCCCCCCGCGCTTTGTTTCCGCACCAGTCTCCGCTCGCATCCACCTGCCCCCACTTTTCAACGTTCTTTCCCAGTCTTATCGACTCTTTCCTTTCATCTTTATTTTCGTTTCGTCCGTGCTCCATTGTGCTATTCCTCAGTTCTTCGCGTTCCGCCCACTCCCCCCCAGGCCGCCCCATCCCACCCCAACCATCTTCACCCCGCCCCGCTCGCATTCCGCATTTCTCCAAAATTATTCCCAGCCCCTCCTCCAGAATCCTCCGCGCGCCCCCCGCTCCCCCGCGCCCCCCCCGGCTCCTCTTCTCCACTTCTCCCCCCCCCCCCCTCCCTGATGCCCTACTACTGTCCACTCTACCCCAGCGTGAAGGATCCCTGGAATCCGAACTTTGGACCCCCGTCTACATGACACGCTGCAGGGTAGCATCAGAGGAAAGAGAAGTGGCATGTCGCAGAGCACTTGTTGCACAATGCCCGACTTGTGTATCCGATGTGTGCCGGACCGCATTGTATAGAGTATATACGAAGTGTTCTTAGGCCCTGGACCGCCGGCTCTCTGATCCCGAGTGCTGGAGACCTCGCGCCAACAGCTGAAGGCTTTGTGCGTCTTCAACCGCCGCAGGGAGAGACAGAGAACAGCCGCTGCGACACAAGCTCCCCGAGCCGCTGCGACACAACCTCTCGGAGACGTGCACAAAGTGCACTATGAGGGTAAGTGCGCTTCAACTATTTGTTGGGGCCTCTCTGGAGGCTCTGTATAATATAGTAGTTACACGGCATACGGTACGTAATGCTCACGCTTGCCATCCGTACCTATGTTGGCTCAAGGCTCAAGGCTGGCGGGCACGCCGGCCGAGCTAGCGCGCGAGCTTCGCTCGCTTTAGACTCACTGGCCACACTGGCAACCTTTGTATATATACCTTTTAGTCACGACTCGTAAGAAGAAATCTCGTGGGCCTCGCAAGGACGAGGCAGAGGCACGCCGTGCCAAGAAGCGCCGCTTCGAGGACTGGCAGTGCGACTACTGCGGCATACACCTGAGAACAAGCATCCCTCATCTACCTCGTTGCATTCATTGGTTCGACATCACAGCTAGCTCCTGATTCAGACGAAATCAAGTCAGAAGATAAGACAAAGACGGACCCTCCGTCAACAACTGGAGGTTGCTCCGGGAAAGCGGATCAGACCGACGACGTTTTCCAGTGACTTGAACTCGTATTTCCTACGACTGGACAGCTAGCAAAAATGGCGAACCTTGAACGCATGGCACAGGCTATGATGTGGGCTGTCACACAGCAAGCGGACAGCGCCCAACGTTTGGCACAGAGCGTGGAGCGGCAGAGCGCCGAACGGGCAGCGAACCAAGGCTTCCGAGCTCTGAAGCCCAAGCGGGAGATCACTGGGATTACTGCTACGAGTCAGAAGCAGCTGCTCTTGGATATCATCCAGTTCGAGATCGACCTCGGCGAAGTAGGTGTGGCGGGTCCTTCGGAGGCCGGCTTTCGACAGCTACGGGCGTGCGCCACCGGCAACGCAAGGGACATCGTCGATCTGGCGCTGGCCACCGGCCACGCGGCGATGCTTTTCCAGCAGTTGCAGCAAATGATTCAGAACAGGGCTCCCCAGGAGAACCGCGACCAGGTGGGGGCACAGCTGTACCAGGCCCTCCTTCACACGGTCCAGACGGAGCTGCGCCTCAACGACGCTAGGAAGGTGCAGATCGCAGGGGAGATCTACGCCGAGGCAAAGATGCACCACGACTCCGTGCAAGAGGCAGAGAACTTCGTCCAGAGGTGGCCCCGGGGCCGGTACATGATGCACAAGTTCGGCTTGATCCCGCAGGCAGACGCGATCATGCACGCCATGGCCGCCGAGGGCACGAGTCTGGAATTGCAGGCAGCAGTCCGGGCGTCCCTGGCTGTCAACGAACACCGGGACGTGAATGAGTTTTTGGAACACCGTGTGACACCGTCTGTCTACGCCTTCATCGTCCAGCAAACTGGAGGCCAGCAGGGGCAGAACCTGGACCACGCGATGGGGTTGGTGAACCTGTGCATCGAGACGCACCGGCGGAGCCCTGGAGGGCGCGTGAACGCCATGCACGGCGAGGCGCAGAGCAGCAACCAGGGAGCTTACCGCAGCCGCGGAGCAGAGGAGGCGCCACCAGCCTTCCCTATTACGTCCGCCCCTGCCGACGAGGGTGGTTTCATTTCTGCGGCCATCCAGCAGGAGAGGGCCGCATCGCGGCCATGTCGAACCAGGCCAACGCCGCCCAGATGGCCGGCCGTGGTGGTGGACCAGGAGGCAAAGGACAGCCTGGAGGTAAAGGCCCCAAGGGCCCAGCCAAGCCCAAGACACAGGTCTGCAACTCGGGACCACGGTGTGCAGACTGTGGCTGCCACCACCCAGACGTGAAGAAGTGCCCGAACGACCTTGCACGAAGTGACCCCCAGATCACTAGCGAGTCCAAACCGGGACCCAACAGCGCGTGCGGACACCCCGTCTACGGCAAGTACAGGTGCGAGAGCACAAAGCACTGGGCGCGACACCACGCGCAGAGGTACCAGGAGGAGCACGGGCGGCCTCCGCCGCAGCGCCAGGTGAAGTCTTGCAGCGCCGAAGGCGGCGAGGACCCCTGGCAGCAGCAGGACCCTTGGCAGCAGCGAGACCCCTGGCAGCAGCAGGAACCGCCACCGGCGGGAGAACCAGCAGGGCCGCCGAGCCAACAGCAGCAGGCGCAGCCACAGCAGGAACCCTCAGGGCAGGCGGCGGCGGCAGCAGCTTGGGCAGGCTACGCGCCGACCGGGCAGGCTTGGCCAGAGACGCCGGCCCCGCGACAGAGGCCAGCGGCATCTTCAGCTGCAGCCTACGCGGCGCCGTCGTGGCCCGCGCCCGGGGCCCCGACCGCAGGTGCCTGCGCTCCGCCACCGGCGCCTTCGACAGCGCCAGTCATGATGACACCCGGGCAGCACCGTGCTTGGCAGTGGTCACAGCAGGGGCTGGCATCGTCCACTGGAGGTGGGGCCATGCGCAGTGCTGTTGGCATCGAAGGGCGCCTTCCAGGAGGTGGCCTCCCGCGGATGTCTTGCGCGCGCGTGCTCAGCGCGCAGCAGCTACCCAGCCGCCTGCGACTCGGACTGCGAGGACAGCGAGTTCGACCCAGAGATCTTCGCGCCAGAGTATGACAAGGACCAGGAGCAGACCTGATCGTTGATGCATCCTTTCTGTGATGACGTCTCTTTGAACGAGAAGGCTACAGAGCCAGGTCCACGACCTCCACAGCTGCCCGGCAGCACGGCTACAGAGCCAGGTCCACGACCTCCGCAGCTGCCCGGCAGCACGGCGACTGAGCCAGGTCCACGACCTTCAGAGCTGCCCAGCAGCTCGGCTACAGAGCCAGGTCCACGACCACCAGAGCTGCCCGGCAGCACGGCGACTGAGCCGACGGCGACTGAGCCCGTACGATCGTTTGTCATACCAGTGGCTGCAGTTCTCCCAGAGGGAAAAAGAGCCACATTTTGTTGCCACCTCCGCGTTCTGCATGTTGTTGTTGCTGTCGTCATGTTCGTGTTCATGGCTGGCTCAAGCACCCACGTCAACGGGGCGATCCAGGCGGACTGGGAGGACGTGCTCATCATGGACGACCGGACCAACCTCTACACGGATGCCGGCTTCGAGTCTCAAAGCGGAGGCGCGGGGGTTAGTTGGAGTCTACCCTTTTCGATTGGTATGCGGGTGCACAGTGGTTGTGTGCTTACAGATCAGTATTGCAATGTGGGGAAATGGTTCGCGGCCAACTGCAGCGGTCGCGATTCCGACGCCAGCTGCGATCTTACGCGCCGTCGCTGAGAGGATGCTGGAGACGGGCTCAGTGATGGAGGTGACGGGTATCTTTTTGGAGAGTCACTTCTTCCGGCTCCGTGCCGGATTCCGGTCCACCTCGGGGCCTTAGAGGCCCACGCCCTTGTGGATAGCGGCAGCGATTTGGACGCCATCGACAAAGATCTGTCTCGGCTGCAGAGCCAGAGCGGGAGCCATTCGTTCCGCGAGCGCCAGGCTATCGACACAGAGGAAATCGGCGGTTTCACGAACGACATGGCGAAGGTCACGGAGTGCGAGAGCGAATGGGCGGCGACAGTCAAGGGGCGCAAGCGGAGGGCGGGAAGCCAGACATGCTGGATCTGCTCATCACGTTCAACGAGTTTTGTGGCTTAGGTGACCCTCTCGTCTTCGGCATGCCGAGTATCGAGTCCGACTTCGGCTGCGAGATTCGCCGCTCTTGCGCGCGCCTGTTCGGCCGGTTCGTGGACCGAGTCTTTCCACCGCAGCGGTCTGGCCGACGCGAAGCCATTGCTTCTTTGCGTTCGCGCGTTTCCGGCGGGCACGCCGGGCCTGGCGGGCGCGCCGGGCCGCCGAATGCATCCAGGCCGTTACCGCCAATCGAGATTTCGGACACCGGTTGGGCGGAGGTCGCCGTCTCCCTTGACGGGGCCGAGGTGGCAGCGCAGGGCGTGCACGGGCCATTTTGGTGCGAGGGAATTGATGGCGACGCTCGTGTGTTGAACTGTCCGGTCTTTCCTATCAATTGCAGTGGGGAACTTGGCATGACGATTATGGCAATGAACAAGTCGCATGGCAAGACGACCTTGATGCCCGGAAGATCTGCGTGCAGATTGCGACGGATGGGCAGCGAAGAGCTGGAAGTAATGGTAGATGTTGAACACCAGTTGGAACTAGCTTCCATTCTGAAGGATTACGACACCCTACCCTTGGACAGGCGACGGGTCGCAACTGCCAAGTACAAGGCCAAACTGCGGACCGACGAAGAGGCGAAACATTTCGACGAGCTTATGGCCGAGATCGAGGCCAAGAGGGGGAAGTTCGATGCACCGGAGCACGACCAGACCTCCGACGAGCATCGTGATCTTTTTTGCCAGATTGTCCGGGACAAGAAGCTGGCCCCAGACAAGCTCTCGATGCGATCTGCGAGCACGTGATCAGGCCTGCGTCTGATTGCCTATGGACAGAAGGCGCTCCCACGCCCAAAATCCGCGGGCACCAGGCCCACGTGAAGATGAAGCCGGGAGCTATGGGCAAGGCCAGACAACCGTACACGATGTCCAAGTTTAACGGGGCCCGCTTTTCGCACCACATCGAGGAGCAGATCAAAGACGGCAAGCTCCGCGAGTGGACCCGTGATGACCCTATGCCGCCTATGGTGGCACCAGCTTTCATGGCTGATCGGAAGGGTTCTCTACTTGGGCGCATGGTTGGTGATTACACGTGCTACAACAAGGCCACAGAGGACGTCTTTTGGCCAGCTCCAGACGCGGAGTCGGTGCTCCAGCGCGCCATGGGCAAGGGATGCCACACGCGACTCTCGATTGCGTTTGGGGGCACAGTGGTGTTGAAAATGATTCAGAGACAGCTCTGGGGCAGACAATCACCGCCCACTGCGGCATGTGCATCCCTCGCCGCCTTCAGTTAGGACCGAAACAGGCGCCGGCCATCTACCAGCACATCCAAGAGGGCACAATTGGATCGGAGTACAAACCTACGGGCGAGAAGCTGGCAGACGTCTTCTTCGACGACACGCGCGTCTCCGATTGGACTTTGGAGGGGCATATCTCGTCACTACTTCAACTCTTCGCACGAGCGCGAGAGAACGGCATGCAATACAGGCCGGAGAAGTGTCGATTTGGATTCACCGAGACTTTGCTCATAGGTTTTATTGTTGGTGAGAGCGGTCGTCGCGTTGATCCTACCAAAGTTGACCAATTACGGGCGTGGCCTGAGTGCCGGGATGGCAGCGACATTATCTCTCACCTCGCATTTTGTCAATACTTGAGAGTTCTTTGGGCCGTTATTTCCAGAGAAATGCAAGCCTCTGAGGAAGTGCGCCAAGGCGGGTGCAGATTTCACGGGCTACGCCGCGGACGCGGAGGCCCAGGCATCCAGAACGTGGTTAATCGAGACGCTGATCGAGCAGGTCGTTTCGGCCATGCCAGACGGCAGACCATTCGAGCTGTACTTGGACGCAAGCGACGTCGCGCGGGCCGCTGTTCTGCGTCAGCGTGACTCCCCCGGCGGCGCGCCGCGAGTCATCGGGGCGGTCGCTCGTTCGTTCGAGGACGTGGCCACGAGGTGGTCAGCTTTCGAGCGGGAGTTCTTCGCGTGGAAGGAGGGCGTTGCCGCGGCGTCAAAGTGGACCGAGGGTTCCGTTGTGTTCACCTTCTTCGACCACGAGAACATCGAGCGTGCTGAGTCTGTGTTGAGGAACCGCCGAGCGACCAAGCAGCTGATGGCTTGGGTTGCCGAGACGCAGGACACGCTTGCGAACGCGCCGCGCGCGTGGATCGCCGGGAAAGCGAACGTCCTCGCCGACGCCGGCAGCAGGGCGCCATGGCAATCGCACGTGGCTTCGCGCTTGGCTATCCCCGCGTCGTCGGCCAGGCCAGTTCGGGACTTCATCGAGAAACTGTTCACCTACCCGGGCGACCTGCCGCAGAAAATCGAGCAGCGAAGACGGGGCATGGGATTGGAACCTTGGGCTGCTGCACCGCCAGACCGCGGGGCACATCAGCGTGGCGACGCCCAGTTCGTCACGGGGCCATTTGACGGGTGTCCGGCTTCGCCCCCAGAGCCTGCGGAGCCGCCGCCAGCGCCTCGACGACCTCCATGGTCCGCAGGCGCGGCGCCCGTCGTGGAGGAGGAGCCGCCACAAGCGCCAGCTGGCCACCAAGCGCCCCCCCCGACCTCGTGGCGGGCACGCCGGGATGGACGACGCGCAGCCCGTTGCCGCAGCGCCCCTCCGACCGCCTGGCGGGCGCGCCGGGATGGGCGGAGCGCAGCCGGCCGCCGACGCGCCCCCTCGACAGCCTGGCGGGCACGCCGGGCCAGACGAGGCGCACCAGCTTGCCGCGGAAGCGCCTGATCGCCCTGACTGTCGCGACATACCAGTGCCGTCTACGCCGAGCTCACCGACTACAACGGAGACGCTGCTTCCCGACATCCCCGTATACATGGAGGAGCACATGGGCCGCGCGGTTGCGCAGCTCAGGCGGCGCGACCGGGACCTCGTGGACATCGGCGGGACGTTCGGCAAGCACTTCTTGGAGGTGGGCTCCGGCCACGAGATCTTGACGCGGTGTGTCCGCGAGAAGGGCCTCACCGTGATGGACCCCGTGGACAAGAAGACCGGCTGGGATTTGACAAGCCGCTCTGACATGCAGCGTTTGCGCACCATGATCAGGGAAGAGAGGCCCTTAATCACCCATATCGCTCCCGATTGTAGGATTTCTTCGGTTGCGTACCATGGCCCTTACGACTGGTCCAATCCACAGCATCGTGCGACGATGCAGTTTGCTTTGGCTTGTGGAGACCTGGCGTTATACAAAATATGTTTGAAGCTTTTCGTATCTATCGGAGATCCTTTGGGGACATGGTTGTGCCGTCTCCGGCGCGCGCGCGGATTCACGCGACGCCTGGTTTCTTCTTCGTGGACCTCGACGGGTGCAGGTGCGGCATGGTGGCCACAGCCGCGGACACGTTGATCCGGAAGTTTTGGAGATGGTTGACCAATGCGGTTTGGTTATGGCCTCTGGCCATGCGGTGCACGGGGGGCCACGAGCACGCGAAGGTGGAGGGGCGCCTGACTACGGCTACGGCCACGTACCCACGGCAACTTGGCGTTGCTTACGCCGCGCGCCTCGCCAAGGCCCCAGAGTTCATGGCCACTCCCCGCGCCGCACTCGCACCCTGTCGCCACCAGAAGCAGGACGCCCAGGTGACACGGCGCAGCGCGCTCGACGGCATGCATCTGGATTGGCCCTTGGGCGCGACCGCTGGCGAGCTCGACGTTTCCAGACGGGCGGCACCCATGCGCGGAGCAGAACACTACCAGGGCGCCGACGCGGATGAGATCTACGCACGCCAGCGCGAACACCTCGCTGCCCAGAAGATCCCGGCGACGAAGGTTACATACAAGTACGCGCGGGACGGCAGCGAGTTCTACACCGCTCATTTTCGAGATCCTGTTTTCGACATTCGCGATGGCGTAATATAGCAGACGATGCGTTTTACTGCTTACGGGGAACACCACCGGGAGATCTCGGGGAAAGGCAGAGCAGCCGGATTAGCTGTCACCGCTTATGCGGCTACACGCGAAGTTGGTGGATTCGGCAGGTTCGGCGTTGGGATCGCGAAGCCTACGGGGCACCGCGGGGACGCACGGAACGAGTTCGAGGTCCGGGACGTCGACTACGTGAGCTCTCTCGCGACGTGGCGCCCCGTTTTCGCGACATTTGTCCCCGAGGACGTGCATTGTTGGAACGCCATTGTGGTGCACGAAGAGCTTGGATTTACTCGTTGCCGTTGCCTTGGACACCCAGTCGGCGAGCCGGAGCTGATGCGCCCCAAGATCCTTGCCTGCGCGGATGGTTCGACAGGGCGGCTCCGGTCGAGTCGCGATGAGATCTTGTACGACTAGCGCGACGAGGTGGAGAAGTACGCCAAGACCCTCGCCGAGTCCGCCGACACGCGCGACAGTTTGCGGTCTGGCCGCCCCGCCTTTTCGGTTACCGGGCTGGAGTGTTTCTGGAGCCATCGGAGACCACGGAGAAATTGGTGAACCTGGCTATACGATATTTCTGGTCAGGAGAAAATTGGGCGGACCAGAAGCCAATCACGGCCGTCACCGTGTACAGGGGCATCGAGCAGCTCGACGCTTCCGACTGCAAGTACACCGGTCTTTTGATGTGGGAGTTGGAATCCGGCATCGCTGGCGAGTATCATGTAGGCGACGCTTGGCTGCAAGGCGAACGACGCATCGTGAGTCTCGAGCCGGGCCAGCGCGTTGTCTTCCGCAATGCCAACGCGGTCGTCGAGTACCCCTGCGAGGACGGCGAAGCTTTCGGTGATCACCGGGAGACGCTCGAGAGGCTGGGGGTTCCAGTGCCGTCGTCTTTGCGGATCGTCGGATTCAGCGGGGCCTTGACGGCGCTCGGGATTGACAGGGGCAAACTGTTGACCATGTACAAAACCGGGCCAGACACGAGGGCGCCGGCTTGGCTCTTATTGTCTCTGGCCGGGCTGGTCGAAGGCGAGGGCTCGGATGGGTCCACCCTGCCGCTGTGGCGCCCGATCGGCGACAACGCCTTGATGGATGAGGTCCGCCATAAGGCTTCGTTGTGTGCTTATGCGCGGGCACTTTCACAAGACAAGCTTGAATCTCTTCAGCCGCATGCTTGTCTTACTCTGCTGGATGTGGTCGTGGCCCGGAGGCCCAAACGATGCCGATTGCCCCCTACTGGTGGGGCCAAGTGGGACGACGTCAGCTTTCGCGTGACCCTCTGCTGGGGCGACGACGACAACCTGACGTTGGAGAAGTATGAGGTTGGTGGCGCGGCAGCAACGGCGAGTGCGACATCCCACCTCGACGTTTACAGCCTCTACGGCGCCGCGCTGTTTCTGGGCCCCGGCCAGAGCGCCAGCGGGGGCATCGACTATGTAAACATCACCGGCGAGCCGAACGACATCGACGAGAATGCACTCCGCCGGTTGTCGAAGAGGAGCGGCTTGGATCTGAAGGACCTTCATCAAGCTCACGGTGTTCTTGGACAGTATCGGTTCTACGGAGGATTGCTCCAAAGGTTGGAGTTCCATATGCCTTCGGGGACTCACGAGTGGTACACTGTTGTTCCAATGGGAGCTTGGCGCACAGTGGAATATCAGGGGACGGAGCGTCGATTGTCTTTGCGACGATATGTTTGTCTTACGTATCACTGCACGATCACTGGAGCACACTGAGACAGGGACCGAACATTATCAACGATACTGGACAGCGGTATCTGGTGGCAGCATATGTCGAGTGACGTGAACGCTGTCGTTCGGAATTTGTTGGGTGTGCCGGATGAATAAGAATTCGCATTTGGTTTCTGGTTTCCAACGATCTCGCGACTGCGACGGCCCATTCCGCTTCCTGACCCAAGATTACGTTGGGCCGCAGAACCCTCCGACGGCGACAGGCCACCTGTACTTGTTCACGGCTGTGTGCAATTTCAGTGGTTGGTACTGGGCCATTCCTACGCAGGACGACACCAGCGAGACGGCCGCCAGAACACTGGCGGAGCGGGTGATCATGGATTTGGCCGGGATACCGTAATCATCAGCAGCGACCGGGGGCAAGCTTTCGCCCATTCAGTTGTTAAGGACTTGGCAAAGACATTCGGCATCGAGCAGAGTCTGGGAACATCTTTTCACCCAGAATCTCAGTCTGCTGTGGAGAGGCCACACAGGGAGTACAAGACGTTGACACGATCATTCATGAGGGAACGAAGAGACTAGGATACGGTTGCACCACTCTTCCAGTAGTCTGTCCGCACCACTCGTCCAGGCATGAAGCCGAGGACGCCGTTGGATTCGACCTTGTCCACGCCGGCACTTGTGAAGCAGATTCCCATCGCCGACTTTGTGAAGAAGTTGGTGGAACACGTACAGAACGTTCACACATTCGTTTCGCAGCAGCACGATATAGTTCGCTCTCACCAACGAGAGCTTCAACTCCGTGAACACGGCAGATGAGATTTTGTTAAGAGGGGGACTATCGCCTGATTGCGAGGCCAGCTTCTCAGCAGAGCCAGGATAAGACGAAGCACCATGATAATTTGTACCAGATCGTGGAGGTTCTCGGACGCGTGGGCGATGCTCGCGCCTACGTCGTGGCAGACGTGGCTGCAGGCGAGCGGTCTGATTTGGGGTTTCACAACCCAGTCAGTGCCGATAGGTTGATACCAATCGAAGTGCTACCGCTATCAGTGCCAGACGGCGAGACGCGGACACGCGCGCAGATCCATGGCCGGAGCGGGGCCATAGTCAACCAGCGTGTGGATGGGCGTGTCTACCTTCGCTGGGACGACGCCCCTGCAGACGCCAGGCCTGCGCTTATGGACCCTGCGCAGACCAACTGCCGCTGGCTGCGCTGAGCGAGCCTGGACCTGGCGGGCGCGCCGGTTCCAGCAAGCTTCTGGCGGGCACGCCGGATAGCAGAGGGTATCTGGCGGGCGCGCCGGGGCCCGCTGAGCTCCTGGCGGGCGCGCCGGGTTGCAGCGAGCTCCTGGCGGGCACGCCGGGCGAACTTCTCCGCAGCAGCTGACTGCCCTTTTGCTGTCCGTAGTGCACAGGCGTGGTCATGAAACGACGCGGGGGCGGGTGCTGTGAAGGGCCCCTGGAATCCGAACTTTGGACCCCCGTCTACATGACGCGCTGCAGAGTAGCATCAGAGGAGAGAGAAGTGGCATGTCGCAGAGCACATGTTGTACACTGCCCGACTTGTGTATCCGATTTGTACCGGACCGCGTTGTATAGATTATATACGAAGTGTTCCTAGGCTCTGGGCCGCCGGCTCTCTGATCCCGAGTGCTGGAGGCCTCGCGCCAACAGCTGAAGGCTTTGCGCGTCTTCAGCCGCCGCAGGTAGAGACAGAGAACAGCCGCTGCGACACAAGCTCCCAGAGCCGCTGCGACACAACCTCTCAGAGACGTGCACAAAGTGCACTTTGAAGGTAACTGCGCTTCAACTATTTTTTGGGGCCTCTCTGGAGGCTCTGTATAATATAGAAGTTGCACGGCGTACGGTACGTAATGCTCACGCTTGCCATCCGTACCTAGGTTGGCTCAAGGCTCAAGGCTGGCGGGCGCGCCGGCCGAGCTAGCGCGCGAGCTTCGCTCGCTTTAGACTCACTGGCCACACTGGCAACCTTTGTATAAATACCTTTTACCACGACTCGTAAAAAGGGATCTCGCGGGCCTCGCAAGGGCGAGGCAGAGGCGCGCCGTGCCAAGAAGCGCCGCTTCGAGGACTGGCAGCGTGACTACTGCGGCATAGACCGGAGAACAAACATCCCTCATCTATCTCGTTGCATTCATTGGTTCGACATCACAGCTGTTGATTCAGACGAAGTCAAATCAGAAGATACGACAGAGACGGACCCTCCGTCAACGCCAGTCCACTCCACGCCCCCGCGCCCCAATCGACACGGTTGCAGTTCTCGCTATCTTTCCGCCCCGTTCTCCCAACATCCCGCTTCTTCTCGTGGTTCCACGGGAATTATTTTCTGTCGCCAATTCGCAGCCATGCGCCCCCCCGCGGGGGGTATCCACGATCTGTTCTTTCAAGGGGGCGGTGCGTGGCACCGTTTATGTCGCGCCCCATGGCGATGGCGATGATTAACCTGCGTTGGAGTGGCCGGCGCAAGCCATGGCCCAAGCTGAATCGCCATTCGCAGCGCAAATCGTCGTCCTCCCTCCTTCTTGCCCCTCCCCTCCCTTCCTCCGATCCATTCGTCCTCGTTCCCCCCTGTTAAATGTTACTCTTCATTTTCAAGGGCTTCACCGACCGCGCGCGGCAGGGAATGAACATTTTTTTGGGCACGATCGAAGACGAAAAGGGCGGGCATCCAGGGTCCGGGATATGCATATTGAACGACACGCGATCAGATAAGAGCGAATAGTCTTAAAATGCTTGTTGTTGTTATTGTTGATGAGGACGCGTTGATCGTGCCCCGGGAGGAGTTGCGCGGGGGGGGGGGGGGGCGGCGCAACGCAGCCGCGTAACGCTCGAGCGCGAACGCGGTTGCGTGCGCAGCCCCCTCCTTCGCAACGCCCGCAAGTGGTTGCACGCGTTGCGCCCCCTCTTGCGCGTCCCGCCGAAGGCCCAAGAGGCATCGGGGGGCACCAGTGGCTGCGCTCGCATGCGCCTGCCGCGCGCATTCTGGCACACCTCTCATACGTTTCGTGGCCCCACAGGGAGCCCCACCGAACCATCATTTCGGCACGCCCCTTTTGAGGATCGTGGCCTTGGCCCCACAGGGAACTTCACCGAAACTTCATTCGGGACGCCACTTCTCGAGGATCGTGGCCCAGGCCCCGTACGGAGTTCCACCGAGGCTTCATTTCGGCACACCCCTCTCGAGGGTCGTGGCCCTGGCCTCACAGGGGGCGCCACTAATGTTCATTTCGGGACACCGTTCTGGAGGATCGCGGCCGTGGCTCCACGGGGAGTTCCACCGAAACATCATTTGGGCACACCCCTCTTCACGATTGCGTTCCTGGATCCACAGGGAGTTCCACCGAAGTTTGATTTCGGCACACCCCTTTCTAGGATCGTGGCCCAGGCCCCACAAGGAGCTCCACCGAAATTTCATTTCGGCACACCATTCTCGAGGATCGTGGCCCTGGCCCTACAGGGAGCTTCGCCGAGGTTTCATTTCGGCATACCCCTCTCGAGGATCGTGGCCTTGGCCCCACAGAGAGCCCCACCGAAACTTCATGTCGGCACGCCCTCTCGAGGATCGTGGCCCTGGCACAAAGAGCTCCTCCGAAGCGTCATTTCGGCACGCCCTTTCTCGAGGATCGTGGCCTTGGCACCACAGGGAGCCCCACCGAACCATCATTTCGGCACACCCCTTTTGAGGATCGTGGCCCTGGCCCCACAGGGAGCTACACCGAAACACCATTTCGGCAAACCGTTTTCGAGGATCGTGGCCCTGGCCTCACAGGGGGCTCCCCCGAAACTTCATTTCGGCACACCCTTTGGCACACCCCCAGGCCTTCGTTAGTATACATAATGGTGGTGGTGCTAGTAGTACTGGTCGGAGTAGTAGAGGTAGGAGTGGGAGTAGGAGTAGGAGTACTAGGGGTAGTAGTAGTAGTAGTAGTAGTAGTAGTAGTAGTAGTAGTAGTAGTAGTAGTAGTAGTAGTAGTAGTAGTAGTAGTAGTAGTAGTAGTAGTAGTAGTAGTAGTAGTAGTAGTAGTAGTAGTAGTAGTAGTAGTAGTAGTAGTAGTAGTAGTAGTAGTAGTAGTAGTAGTAGTAGTAGTAGTAGTAGTAGTAGTAGTAGTAGTAGTAGTAGTAGTAGTAGTAGTAGTAGTAGTAGTAGTAGTAGTAGTAGTAGTAGTAGTAGTAGTCTAGTAGTAGTAGTAGTAGTAGTAGTAGTAGTAGTAGTAGTAGTAGTAGTAGTAGTAGTAGTAGTAGTAGTAGTAGTAGTAGTAGTAGTAGTAGTAGTAGTGTAGTAGTAGTAGTAGTAGTAGTAGTAAGTAGTAAGTAGTAGTAGTAGTATAATGGTGGTGGTGCTAGTAGTACTGGTCGGAGTAGTAGAGGTAGGAGTGGGAGTAGGAGTAGGAGTACTAGGGGTAGTAGTAGTAGTAGTAGTAGTAGTAGTAGTAGTAGTAGTAGTAGTAGTAGTAGTAGTAGTAGTAGTAGTAGTAGTAGTAGTAGTAGTAGTAGTAGTAGTAGTAGTAGAGTAGAGTAGTAGTAGTAGTAGTAGTGGTAGTAGTAGTAGTAGTAGTAGTAGTAGTAGTAGTAGTAGTAGTAGTAGTAGTAAAAGTAGTAGTAAGTAGTACTAGTAGTAGTAGTAGTAGTAGTAGTAGTAGTAGTTGTAGTGTAGTAGTAGTAAGTAGTAGTAGTAGTAGTAGTAGTCAGTAGTAGTGTAGTGGTATGGTCGTAGTAGTAGTAGTAGTAGTAGTAGTAGTAGTAGTATTAGTTAGTAGTAGTAGTAGTAGTAGTAGTAGTAGTAGTAGTAGTAGTAGTAGTAGTAGTAGTAGTAGTAGTAGTAGTCGTAGTAGTAGTAGTAGTAGTAGTAGT